TGCTGAAGGCGTGTTTTACCCAGAATACAGTAAATGGAGACAATGTCACCATTTGTGTTGCAATACAAATTTGACTTTTTTTCAGTTCTTTAAATGTCTAAAGTTAATGCAGATCTCTCCACAGAGTGGGAATTTGTTTAAATGGTTGAAGGATAACATTTTATAGAAGCATTGCACATGTGCATAGCTGTAAATCTGAGAGAAAACAACACTATTTAGTTTAACATCTCAGTTTGAGTGCAAGGTAACTTCTTTCAGAAGCTGATGCCTACAGAGCAGAAGGAAGGTGTCCCCTTTCCGTGTGCACATTTTATGACTGGTGCCAATTTAGGTGCTTGGTGGGGCTACCAAAAATGGTAGAAATTCAGCATGCAGCTGTTAGCACAACCTGACAACTAAAATGCCAGTCCAAGCATCTAAAGAACCTGTGTGCAGATTGGTAGCAGTGGCCCAGGATTTAGCTGGGAGTCTTTACGTAAAAGCTGGGTAAGGAGAGCATGAGCTACAGGCACACCTTCCTTTGGCTTGCAGATGCAACAAATCAGCTAAGAAAGCAGCTCTGGAAATAATTTAGAGCTTAAGATAGAAGTCTTATGGAGACTTATTTTATTTAAAAGGCTGTGCCCAGTGCACCATGGGGATACCTAAGCAGGTACATTAGGTAGACCTGGAGGAGGCCAGCGCATGAGGATGCGCTAACACTGCGAGTAGAGCTGTAGCTGTGCTGAAGTGCTGGGAGCAGTAGAGCCCCATTGCCTTGTTTTCCAGAAGGCAGTTACTTTGCATCAACTGGTTATGCTCACAGAGTTTCCAGAGAACCATTTTAGTGAGGGCCTTTTTTTTTTTTTTTTTTTTAACTTTATAAGGAAAAGTCACTTTAGAAGGGATTTATTGCAAGCATGACAAATAAGACTAGCAGAAATTGGGGAGAGAGAGAAAAAACAGGACTCTTAACTACTTGTGACTCTTCTAAATCAATGTGAGCTGTAAATCCACCCTCTTGAACTCCATCTGTGTGTTGTGGTGCATGTTAGTACCAGGCTTCACTGCTCTAACCATCTCTTTTCTTTCCCCTGTGGCAGGTGTGCAGGTAGCACTCAGGGGTGTGCTCAGGGCTGTAGCAGGGCAGGGTACTGCATGGGACCTGGAGTCCAGCACACCATTCACCCTGACTCCATCACCAATTTTCTCTGGGGCCTTTAACAACTGAGAGAGACCCTGGGGGATTTAGGCTGGTAACGTTTCATTGATAGTGTCCCTTGGGGAACAAAAGTGGCAACTACTCTATTCCCTCTGAACAAGGGGCATTCAGTCCTTCTGAAGATGGGACTATAGATGTTTAGAGGCTACATCCTAAGATTAGACAGCAGTGCTAGAAATCTGTTTTTTTACTGCAGCTGGCCACACATCTCTGTGGCCACGTATCTCATTGTAATTTCATGGCAGTCAGTGAAGCTGTGTCAAATACAGCTGAGGATCCCAGTCAGCATCTCGTGCCTTCATGTTAAAATCAGTATAATGATGCCTGTTCCTAAAACCACCTGTTAATAAAAAGAAAATATTTGTCATGCTATAGCATAAATACTTCCCTGCACTATTTATTCTCGAACTGTGGGAGATGGTTGATGTTGCTGTTCAATAATGGATGGTTTATTAATGGTGCATGGGGTTACTTACCCCAAAGAAGGGGTAACAATAATTTATGTTTCTGCAGTATTTCAATGATGCTAAATGCTATGTACTGTTGTATGTCCAGTAGCCTAGCATAAAGTCCAAAGATAAGTTTAAAAGGTACATAGTTTTTACTTGAATCAACTAAGAGAAACTGGGTATTACCTTCATATGTGCTTAAAGATATACAAGAGGACAGAAATCAACTGCATTTCCATGATAGGAAGATGAAACCAGCTTTTGACTGCTCTGTCCTCTGGTACCACAGTGGGTAGTTGTGCTGTAGTACCTGTCACTTTGAAGTT